CCTATTTTTCCTGTTGTTCAGGTTTGCCTCTGGGTGACCTCTGAGTAGCAGTACTTAGTCTCGGGATTTCTGGCAGTTTTTGATTTGTATCTAGTTATTCCTATTCTCAGACATGGGCACTTGTGTCAGTTGATGCCCGACTGTCTGATCCAGCATACCCTTGCAGTTCAGTGCACATGCACAACCTGACTCAGGTTGCACCGGTGTGACAATCCCCGTCCAGTGGACCTATGTCTCCAGGCAGTTTAGGGTACAGGCATAATTCAGACACAAACTGCAGGATCAACAGATCGTGAACCATCTAATTCTGTGTCTCCAGTCAGTTCAGGACACATAGAGGAACCAGATGTGGTTTGGATGGATAGCACTCACAGACTGCCCATACCTGAGACCCCCCCAGGGGGTCCAGGTGCAAGTAAGGCACAGACTCAAACCATGGGACCAGCAGCTCTTGGAGTGCTCGCTATCTTGGCACAGGCCCCGCACAGTGAGGGCCCACATGCTAACCCTGGTGAGCACAGTCCCCAGGGCTTCTGAATGAGGACCTCCTGTCTGCCACATGGAGGGCAGAGACTCAGAATGTGATGTCAGCGTGGTCCTCGGTCATGTACTCTGCCCCCAGGAAGTAGATGGGAAATACCTGGCTCTCTCTGCGAGTTTTAGCTGGGAACCGTGGCAGTGGGGTTTGAGTCGCAGCCCGCTTGGTTCTGCTTCTTAGTCAGTTCAGGACCTGCTCAGGAGCCAGACCCAGGCCAGTCTTGACCTTGCTTTTGTTTATGTGATATATTGCATTTATTGATTTCCATGTGTTGAAGTATCCTTGCATCTCTGGGATGAAACCTACTTGATCATGATTTATGATCTTTTGATAATGAGCTTCATTCTGTTCCCTAATATCTTGTTGAGAATTTTTGCATCTATGTTCATTAAGGAGATTGGCTTATAGTTTTCTTTTTAGTTGTGTCTTTATCTAGTTTTAGAATCATAGTGATGTTGGCTTCCATAAATGAATTTGGGAGCACTCTGTCCCTTTTAATTTATTTGAAGAGCTTGAGTATAGGGGATATAACATACTTAAATGTTTTGTAAAATTCAGCATTGAATCTATCAGGTCCTGAGCTTTTTTTAGTTGATAGATTGTTTACTACTGCCTCAATTTCATTGCCTGTTATTAGGTCATTCCGTATTTTTCTGTCTTCTTCAGTTAGATTTTTGTAATTTGTATAAGTCTAGGAATCTGTCCATTTCTTTAAAAATTTTCAGTTTATTAGAATATAGTTTTTCATAGTAGTTACTAATTATCTTCTAGATTTTGTCAGTGTCTGTTGTGATTTCTCCTTTTTCATTTCTGACTGCACTGATGTGAGTCTTTTTCTCTTTGTAAGTTTGACTAAGGGTTTATTTATTTTGTTTATTATTTCAACAAACCTGCTCTTCAATTCGTTGATTCTTTTTTTTAAGGCTCCATTTCATCTCTACTCTTTATGATTTCCTTTCTTAATTTTAGTTTGGGCCTGGATTGTTGTTTTTTTCTCAAGTATCTTAAGGTTCTTCATGAGGTTGAGTTCTGTCTGTTTTCTTAATGTAAGCATTGATTATAGTGGACTCTTTTCTTAAGACTGCTTTAATAATGTTCTCCATTATGTTCACCAGAGGTTCTGGTGAGTTTTATATGCACTGTATTTAACTGCTAAAAATTTTAAAATTTCTTCCTTGATTTCTTCTCTTCCATTGGTTGTTTAGGAATGTGTTATTAATTTTTCAACTACTTCTACTTTTTGCATAGTTCCTTATGTCATTAATTTCTAATTTTATTGCATAGTGGTCTGACTGTACACATGGGGTGATTTCAGTTCTTTTATATTTATTTAAACAGGCTTTGTAGTGTTGTATGTGATCTACTTGGGAGAAAGTACTGTGTGCTGCAGAAAAGTGTATATATTCTGTTATAATAGTGTAGAATACTTAGTAGATATCTGTTAAGTCCATATGTTCAAGCATGTGGTTCATTTCTAATTTTATTTTACTGATCTTTGTGGGTGTAGTTAATATCCAATATTTCCTTATTGATCTTCTGTTTAACCTTTCTTTTTGTGAAAGTCATATGTTAAGATCCTCCATTATGATTGTGTTAGTATTTATTTGATCTTTTATGTTCAGCAATATTTGTTTTATGAAGATAGTTGCTCCAGTATTTGGTGCATAAATATTATAAGCATTATCTCTTTTGTTAGATTGTTCCCTTAACTAATGTGTAGAGACCTTCTTTGTCTCTTCTGATCAGTTTTAGCTTAAAGTTTATCATGTATGAGATTAAAATTTTTATCATTGGTGGTTTTCAGGGTCCTAGTGCATGAAGTATTGTTTTCCATTCTTTGATTTTTGTCTATAAATATCTTTTTGAATTAGATGCATTTCTTGATTGTAGTAGACTGTCGGATTCTGTTTTCTTACCTATTCTGCCAATCTGTGTCTTAATTGGAGAGTTGAGGCTACTAACATTGAGAAATATTACTGAGGTGTGTTGATTATTTACTGTTTTTGTACTCTTTCCCTGTTAGTGACTCCTTTGTTTTTCTTCTCCTGTCATTTTTTGTTGTTGCTTATCTTGCTTGGTGTTTTCATTTCATCTGGGTTTTTAGCTTTATTGGTTCTTTTTTGTTTCTGTCTAGAATATTCTTGAGTATTTTCTGGAGTTCTGGCTTAGTATTCGTACATCTGTTGAGCTTGTCTTTTTTATGAAATGTCCTTATTTCTTCATCTCTTTTGAAGGAAAGCTTTGGTGGGTTTGTTAGTCTGTATTGGAAATTATTTGTTCTTAGGGCTTGAAATAGTTCACTCCAAGCTCTTCTGGCTTTTAAAGTTTGTATTGAGAAGTCTGCTGTAATTCTAATGGGTTTACCTTTATATATGATTTTTTATTTTTCTCTGATGGCTTTTAAAATTCTGGCATTTTTTGTTAGATATCTGGCAATTTAATAAGGATATGTCTCGGTGAACTTCTTTCTTTTATCATAGTTGTCTGGTGTTCTGGAGGCCTCATTTACTTATATGTTGAATTCTTTTCTCATATTTAGGAAATTTTCTGCTATGATTTCTGTAAAAATATAAACAGTTCCGTATGTGTTGTCTTATAGGTTTTTCTCTCACCCCAGTTACCCTTAGGTTGTTCTTTTTAGTATTTCTAGAAGCTGCCAAATGGTCTTTGCTTTTTCTCTTATTTTTTTGTGACTTCTCTAAATATCTTCATAATTTACCCATTTTGTCCTCAATATCAGACACTTGGTCTTCATATTGGTCATTTCTGCAATTTATGAATTCTATACAATTTTTTATTTTGGGTGTCTTAGTCTGATATCTTTTTGAGGATTCTAAATCTTTGGTGAATTTGTCACTCATATTTTGAACCAATTTGGTCAACTCTTCTAATTTTTTAAAAATTTTAAATGTTATTAGTACATGCTTGCAGTTCATCTGGTCCAAGGTAACAAGTGAGAGGTGTGAGGAGGAGGGGAAGGGAAAATAAGTAGAATAAAGATGTGCCTTGTACAGAACCCTAATAACCTCAGTTAATGTTATCTCTTTCATTCTTTTACTTATTTTGCCTCTATCCTCTTTGGGTAGTTTCAGTGATATTTTGGTGAACTTCTGATTCATTTCCTCTTCAAATTTGTCTAGTTTCTTTACCTTTCTATAACCTTTTTGTAGAGTTCTGCCAGTTGATATTGTTTTCTTCTCCATTTGTGTCCCCTTGATCTGTCTTAGGAGACTTGGGAGACAGTGAGTGTGGGGGGTGGTCTTCTATTTCCTTGCTTTTCCCATGTTCTCATGTGCATGTGTGTCTGTTTTTTATTATTTGTTATCCCTAGAAAGTCCAGGTATTGACACAGAGAGAAAACCAATTGTCATCCACTATTTTATTACCTTGGCTATAACAGTAAATTCAGCAGCAACATGGCATTACATATTAACTGGATATTGCTTAGATCTTTGCTGGGAATTAGAAGTAAGAAAATTTGGAGATGATGCATTTTGCACCGACAGAGTCTGAGCCATGTAAACCTTCAACCTCCTTCATGGTAGAGATAACCTAGGTGCTCTGTTGAAATGAGAAAAACCACTGTGGAGTTAGGTCAAGTGAGGGGATGGATCTTATATTTCTCTTTTCTTATCATTTTAGGCATGTTCCCTGGAACCTCCATGAACCAATGAGAGGCCAGTTTCATTTCTCGGGAAACCTGGATTTCATGTATGTGTTCATGCTTTAATTGCCTGATTCTGTGGCTCAGAGATGGGCATCCAGCAGTAGCCATTGGGTGAAGGAATAGGGAACACCTTGCTTTCTCCTTTGAGAGCAGTCTGGAAGCTCTGATCATTTTCTTTCCGAGGTTGAATCCCTCTTAACCAGAAAGTCTGTGATTTACAGTGGAGTATAGTCCTTCATGTTACATTATAGATTAGAATTGTTCATCCAGTCTACTACACATGATAGTGTTAGTTTACTGTGAAGAATATGTTCTCTCACTTAATAGGAGCTTTCTGGTTTAGTTTACATGGTTTCTAAGATAAAATAGGAGTGTTCAAAATATATACTTACCACTTACTGTAACTTATTAAAAATATGTACTTACTAGCTACTATCATTTAGATGTTATCTTTGGTGCTGAAGATAGACAAGACGTGCTGTGCTTTTAAGGATAAAGTGAGGTAAATACAACAAACTAAGGGTATACAGCACAAACTAGGGAAACAGATCAGGAAGATAGTGGTGACAGTCCAGACGAGGTAAGTTTCAAGGCTGAGCAGAAGTTGACTAGAAGGGGCTGAGTAGTTGGTATGTTCAGCAGAGGCAAAGTCAGAGAGGTGAAAGTACACTGTAAATCAATTAAGATGAAACTAGATGTTATAATACATAAGCCTTAAATCTGTTAACAAAGTTTGCTTTCATTCAAGTAGAACATAAAATAGGTATTTCTAATGATCACATATATCTCTTTCAATAAAAAATTAGAATGATTCAGGGTCTTTCTGTCTATGCCTTCTATATAAAGCTTCTAAATTACAATGCCTATTTGCATTAAGTCCCAGTATGCAAGAAAAGGTATGGATACTGTCCTTTGGTACTTACAACTTATTTCTTCTGCTCGTATTTTATTCACTTGAGGTCAGTCACATGACTCCATCTAATGTGTGAGAGCTAGAAAATGTGCTTGAACTATACACCCAGGAAAGAAAGGAATAGATTTGCTGATTAACTTTGCTACACATTGTATTTTCTGGGATCTGCAAATAATGTTTGGCTCTCCTACTACTTTTTTTTTTTTTTGGTTTTTCTCCGGTACCGGGAACTGAACTCATGACCTTGCGCTTACCAGGCAGGCGCTTTTGCCGCTGAGCTAAATCCCCAGCCCCTTCTCCTACTATTTTTAAGTAGAGCAGCTGCCAAGGTATAAGTCTGAAGAGATGATCAGTATCTGGATCTTGGCCTTCTACACCATATTACAGAATTGGGGACCTATTCTGAGGGCATTGGATAACTACTTGAAGAACTTTAATTTTAAAGCTTTACAATTTGCATTTAGAAAGATCATTCTGGAAGGGGTTTCATTTTTTTTTTTTTATTACTGGGGCTTAAACTCTGAAGTTCGTGTACACTCAGCATATGCTCTACCACTGAGCTGCATCCCTATACCCTGCAGGGTTTTGAAAAGGCAGCATAACAGAATAGTTAAGATTTCATTTCAACAGGCTCTCTGCCTGAGTTCTAACTTTAGATCTTCCACTTACTAAAATGTAACCTTGAGGAAGCTCTATTAAGAGTTTTAATTTTCCTGTGTGTAAAATGAAGATGATGTTAATACCTAGTCCATGCAGTTACACCAAAAGTAATAAACTTAAATTTAGCTATGGTGTCTGATTGATACAATATAAATATTAATTCTTGTTTTTGTTGTTAATAATGATATTATTATTGACAATAATTGGAGAAGGATTAGAAGAAGGTAAGAATACAGGAAGAAAACAAATTGTTCATTTAAATAGGTGTGAAATGATGAGTGTGTGAAACAACATGGTAGCAGTGGGAATGCAGAAGAATTTGACATTTGGAAACATTAAGTAGGAAGAATAACCATGATTTGGTGACTGACAGACATTAGGAGGTGAGGAAGTAATGAGGAGCAGTGATGGTTTGTGTATTTCTGCCACAGAGGAGTTATTGTGTGCTGGTGCTATTCGTGGAGGTAGGAAGTCCAGGGCAGGAGTGGATTTGGGTGAGGAGGCTGGAGTCTAGGATTTCTGGACTTCCACCTAAATGTTCTGCTCTCTAGTGCCTTGACAGAGCCCTTTTCTTACTAAGGTCTCCTGGACTATATTTCTTACAAGGACTTTTGGGGACCATGCTGTGAGTGCCAGTCATTTTAACCTCAGGAGAAAGCAAGGAGGGGAACATGACCATGACACCAGGTCTCAGCTTTCAAATTGAAGTCACTGTTGTTGCTTTCCTTCCTAGGGCTTTTATGTCCATAGCTTCAGAGGTGGGGCTTTGGGTCATTCTGTGTCCAGGCCCCTATATCGGGTGTGACTTAGACCTCGGAGGCCTGCCCAGGTAAGTTGTGTGGTGGGCAAAACTGGTTGTTACTATGCTTGGCCCATAACCACTTTCCAATGCAAATTAGAGCAGTGTTTTATTTTGTTTTCTATATACATGCTTATCTGCACATTTTTTTCCATTTAATTACACAGAAAATGACCCTTATGATATTAAGGATTATATATTTGTTATGTTGCTTACATCTCTGTGGTACAAATGGGATAGAGCTCTTATTTATACTTAAAATATAAATTCATGGGTACCACTTCAGCAATATTTTTATAAGTTTTAAGGTTTTTTTGCTGACTACATATTTATCTCTTTCTCTTTTGTATCTTATGTATGTATGTATGTATGTATGTACGTACGTAGGGGTGAGGCACTCTAGTACTGATCTACATCCCTAGCCCCTTTTATTTTTTCAGACAGCATCTCATTAAATTACTCAGGCAGGATATGAACTTGAAATTCTCTTGCCTCAGCCTCCTCTGGTGTGGGATTACATTCCTGTATCACCACATTGGCTCAATTATCTCTTTTTTAAAAAATGTTCTTTTTACTTAGAGCATTTTATTATTGCAGTAAAAAGCACATAACACGCAATTTGCGATTTTAACCATTTTGAAATGTGTAAGTGGAATTTTCACATGGCTGGATAAAAGAGGAGCCATATTGGAGCCACTCAGAAAAAATAAACTAAAAAAACACAGGTAATTGGAAGAAAGGGAGGGACATACATCCTGATGCCAACATCAATCTAAAATTAGAGGCTTTTAGATCAAATAAAACATAAGCACAGGATTTTTTAAAGTGATTATCTAGCCCACAGGGTCTCAATTTATCAATTAAAAAACAGACTGGCAGAATAAATCAAGAAATAAGATCCAACAATATGCTGCATACAAGAAACACATTTAACTCAAAAAGCAATTTATAGGCTCAGAGTCAAAGGATGAAAACAATAATTCATGCTACAGGAACCTGGAAAAAAGCCATCACTATTCTATTAGCAGACAGTGTGAACTTCAAACCAAGACTGAACAAAGCAAACAAAGAAGGTCACTACATACTTGTTAAGGGAAAATGCCAAGAAGAGATAACAAATTATATATGTGCTAAATATAGGAGCACTCAAATTTATAAAACTAGTAAGAATGGATATGAAAAGTCAAATAACCACTGACACAGTTGTAATGGGGGACACCTCAATACCCCACTGCCAGAAACAGACAAATCAACTAGACAAGAAAAAAAATCAACAGAGTAATATCAGAATTAATCCAAGCCTGGAAACAAACGGAATTAATAAATGTCTACAGAGTATTTCACCCCACAACATCAGAATACACATTATTCTCAGATGCCTATGGGATGTTTTCCAAAATAGAACACTTACTAGTCCATAGAACATGTTTAAGTAAAGGCAAAGGAGTTGAAATTATCCCAAGCATATTATCTGATCATTATGCAATGAAATTGGAAATCAATGGCAAAAGAAACCACAAAAACTCCATAAATAGATGGAAATTAAATAACATCCTCCTTAATAATCAATGGGTCAGAGATGATATTACAGAAGAAATTAAATGGTATTTACAATTAAATGAAAATAGTGATAAAACATATTGGAATTTATGGGATACAATGAAAGCAGCTCTATGTGGGAAATTTACAGCAGTGAACTCACATGAGGAAAAAAGAGCAAGCTCAAGTAAACAACCTCATGTTGAACCTCAAACCTCTAGAAAAAAACTCATATGGTGAGGAAACTATAAAGATTAGAGAAGAAGTTAATGTAAGTGGGACTAAGAAAACAATAGAAAGAATCAATGAATCAAAGATTTGATTCTTTAAAAGACTAAATAAAATTGATGTCCTTAGCCAATCTTATCCAAGAAAGGAAAGACTCAAATATATGGAATGTGGAAGAAAAAGGGTGAAATCACAACAGATTCTTCAGAATCCAGATCATCAGTACCTCTTTTAAGAACGTTTGTTCTAATAAGATGGGAAATGGTCAGATTCCTAGATACATATTAATTACCAAAGCTGAATCAACAGTATATAAAAATTCTAAATAAACCAATTGTTAGTCAATGAAATTTAATAAGTAATTAAAAATCTACCAACAAAGAAAAGCCCAGGTCCTGATAGAGTCACTGCGGAATTGTACAAGAAATTTAGAGAAGAACTAATGCCACTACTCCTGCAGCATTTTAATGAAATTGAAAGAGAAGTAAGACTCCCAGAGTCATTTCTGGAAGCAAGTAGTACCCTGATCCCTAAACCAGAGAAGGAGCCAACCAAACAAGAGAGCTACAAATCAGTCTCCCTAATGAACATAGATGCAAAAATCCTCAATATGATACTGGCAAACAGAAATGCAGCAAATTATCATGAAGATTATACACAACAATCAAGTAGGATTTGTCTGAAGGATGCAGGGATAGTTCAACATGTGCAACTCAACAGATGGCTTATATATCAATCTGATAAAAGCCATCTGTGACAAACCATTACCCAACATCATGCTAAATAGTCAAAAACTGAAAGCTTTCACTCTAAAATCAGAAACAAGTGTAGGATGTCCACTGTCACCACTCATATTCAATATAGTTCTGGAAATATTAGCCAGAGCAATTAGACAAAAGAAAGAAATAAAAGGAATAAATGTAGGAAAGGAAGAAGTTAGACTATCACTACTTGTAGATGACATGATACTCTACATGGAAGATCCACCAAACTCCCCGAGACTCCTAGAGTTAATAATCAAATTCACCAACATAGCAGGATACAAGGTCAACACTCAAAAATCAATAGCATTTGGGTATGGTGGTGCATGCCAGTATCACAGCACTCAGGGGGATCATTGTGAGATCAAGGCCAGTTTAGGCAACATAGTGAGTTCAGGGCCAGTCTGAACTACATAGTAAGACCTTGTCTCAAAAAAATAAATCAATAGCATCTCTATATATAAATAACAAACTCAAGAAGAGGGAAAGCATACTTTTCACAATAGCACCAAGAAAGAAAGAAAGACTTATGAATCCACATAACAAAAGAAATTAAAGATCTATATATTGAAAGCTACAATACTCAGAATAAGGAGATCAAAGAGGATATCAGAAAATGCAAAGATATACTTTGCTGTTGGGTAGGAAGAATGGCCATACTCCCAAAATTGTTATACAGATTTAATGCAAACCAAATCAAAATACTATTATCATACCTCACAGATCTAGAGAAAACATTCCTAAAATTTCCTTTTTTTTTGAAACCAAAAGAGACCTAGAATAGGAAAAACAATTCTAGACAATAAAGGCAAAGCATGGGGCATCACAATCCCTGACTTGATACTATCTTACAGAGATATTGTGATAAAAACAGCATAATACTGGCAACAAAACAGACCTAAGAATCAATGGAACAGATTAGAAGATGCACAAATAATTCAAACACATTCAGCCACCCTCCCTTTGACAAAGAGGCCAAGCACAGTTACTGAAATTAAAATAGCCTCTTATAAATGGTGCTGGAAGAACTGGCATTCCATATGCTAAAGACTAAAACTAGACCTATGTCTATCTCCATGAACTAAAATGAAGTAAAAATGGGTCAAAGATACAAATTTTTAAATAGAAACACTAAATCTGCTGGAATAAAGAATAAGTAGAACTCTTGAAGACATAGGAGTAGGCAAAGACTATATGAACAAAACTCCAATTGCACAAGAACTATTACAAAAAGTCAGCAACTAGGATCTCATTAAAATACTTCTGCACAGCAAAAGAAATCACCAACAGCATAAAGAGACAACCTACAGGCTAGGAAATAATTTTTGCCAGCTGTTCCTCAGACAAAAGGCTGTTATCTTTATTATATAAAGAACTGAGAAGAATCCACCCCCCAAATTTAAAGACCTAATCCAAAAATGAGCATCTTAGATGGATATACATTTCTCCGATAAAGAAGTACCAGTAGTGAATATATATATATATATGAAAAAAATGTTCAGCATCACTGATCATCTGAGAGATGCAAATTAAAACAATGCTGACATTCTATCTCACTGAAGAAAGAATGGCTATTATCAAGAAATCAACCAATAACAAATGCTGGCAGGGCTGTGAGGAAAAAGGAACGCTTCCACACTGCTGGTGGGGTTATAGACTGGTGCAACGACTGTGGAAATCAGTCTGGAGTTCCTCAAAAAACTAAGACGAGAGGTTCCATTTGACCCAGCTATCCCCTTTCTTAGTATCTTCCTAAAAGTATTAAAAGCATCATAGCTCAGCAATATGTGCACATTCATTGTTATGGTTTGTGTCTAGATGTCCCCTAAAGCCTCATGTGTTCATAGGACTTTTTCAGCAGTGGCTGAATCTAGAGTGTGTGATGCTGGGATTCATGGTTTGTGATTAGTAAATCAGTCTTCTCATTGGTTTGGCATAGTTCTGGCTAGGGTTACGGATGTGAGTGCTACACCCACAGGGCAGGTAGGCTGCATATGATATAAGGGACAGAAAGGGTCTTGTTCCCCTCTGTCATTGCTTTTGCTGTCTTCGACTGCCATGTACCACCCTGCCTCAGAGCCAGCTGTTTTTGGACTGAAACTTGTAGAAACTGTGAGCTAAATAAATCTTTCCCCATTTAACTTTGTGTGTCAGGTATTCTGTCTCAGCACTGAGAGAAGTAACAAGACACCCATGTTCATAGCAGCACAGTTTGTAATAGCTAAATATTGGAAACAACCCAAATCCCCATCAGCCAGTGAATGGATAAAGAAAATGTGTTTTTCTACAATGCAGTACTACTCAGTCATGCAGAAGAATAAACATGAGACATTTCTAGATAACTGGATGCACCTTGAGACAGTACTCTTTAGTGAAATAAATTAGACACACATGTTTAAATACCTCCTTGTCAGCCTGGCATGGTGACACACGCTTGTAATGCCAGCATTCAGGAGGCTGAAGCAGGAAGATCATTGCAAGTTTGAGGCCAGCCTGGATTTCAAAGTGAGCTCAAGGCCAGCATGAACTGCATAGAGACCCTGTCTCAAAAAGACAAAAAGTAAAATAAAATTAAATAAATATTGATTCTCTGGTGTGAGAAATTGAAAATGTAAATAAGGACCAAAATGTATAATAGATATTGAAAAGTAGGAAGAAGGCATTAAAATGTGAAGGGCCAGAAACAAAGAGAGAGAGGGGAAGGAAGGAAGAGAAAAGAAAAAAATGAGAAAGGAAAGATGAAATGTAAACAAAGCTTTTGTAAGTGAGAAAGGGAAGAGGGGTAGGAGGGAATGGAGAGTTATGGGGAAAAATGAGAATTGGGGTATAGCATATGTGAGTAAGGTTCCATCTGATGAACATGATCCTTGTGTATATCTGAACTGTACCAATAAACTGAATGATAAAAAAGTATGTAATTCTATGACATTAACTACATTCTGAATGTTGAATGATGATCACCACTTTCTAGTTCAAGGACATTTTCATCCTCCCTCCAAAACCCCACCATACTTCTGTGTCCTCTCTCCTCTAGCCAGATTTGCTTCTTCTGGACATTTTGTGTAAACAGAATAAGATAATTTGTGGTCTTTTTGTCTGGCTTCTTTCATATAAAATTCCCAAGCTTCATCCATGTTGTAGCACATGAATACTACATTCCTTTTTATGGCTGAGTAATATTCCTATAACAGGCTTTTTTTTTTTTTTTCTCCAAATAGCTTTATAAAAATCTCATTCTATATGTTGGGAATTTTTTTCCTGTAAAAAGCAAATAGTAAATATTTCAGGTTTTGTGGGCTACATAGCCTCTGTTGTAGTTAGTCAGTCCTGCTGGTGTGGCATAGAAGCTGCTATGGTAATATGTGAACAGTTAAGTACAGCTGTGTCCAAGAACAGTGTATTTACAGGAACAGGCTGCAGTGTGACTTGGCCCAGGGGCTTTTGTTTGGTGAACTCTGCTCTGGATCTCCACTAATCAAACTTCACTTGCATTTGAGGGAAGACATTGCCAAAGTGTTGAGATATTTGTGGCAGGTACACTGGTCCTTCTTGAAGTTGCATTAAACCTTCCTGACACACTGTCCCAATGCAGCTCTGGAAATTTGGGTTCCCATATCTCCATCTCCTGTGCTTGAACATTCTTGATGCTGTCTTCCAGCCTAGGTCTAAGTCTCCCCTTTTCAATCCTAGCTGGTTACTCCAGGACCCAAAAATGAGGCTGCGGACAACTTACAAGGGCTTCCAGAAAGCAGTGAATCGCTATTTTGATCAATTGATTCCCAGGATTGAGTTTATCCAGGTAAAACCTCGTCTCTCTGATGAAGGGAAGTTGGTGCCTGTGCTGATTTATGTAGTGGGCTTACCAATGCTATGAGCTCAGAAAGCAGGAAGCATCAGTGATAGCACATTAGCGGCAGCTAATGCAGGTTCCTTGTCTAAAAACATCACTATTTAACCACCCTGATTTTATGCTTTTCCACCACTGACTCCCCAAAGGAACCAAGCTCACACTCTGCTCTATCTTTTTCCTGGCAGGAGTCTTAAACTCACACTCTATATATCTTTGCTTTGTCTTGGGTGTAATTTATTTGCTTTCTGCCTTAGCACAAATGGGAAATTCATGAAAAGAAAATGTTCTCATTTACTTCTTAAAGACAGTTACATGTCAGCCTTTTACAAATAGTTTCTACAGGTGAGCTTAGGTCAGTGATTTTGTAGAAATTGCATTTTAGCCTGGGAGGTGGGCCGCCTGCTCCAGGGAATCCACATGGTGGGGAGCTCCAGCTTTTGGGCAGAACCCCAGCCATGCAGGTTCCCTGGGAAGCTGTGTGGTGGGGAGCTCTGGCCTTTGGGCAGAACCCCAGCCACACTGGCACCCAGGAGGTGGGCAACCATGCAGTCAAGAACTATCATGGCCCAGATAAGCAATGACACAATTGGTCCACCATGCGCTGGCTGTGGAGGTCCACCTGGGGACATGTGTGAATCATCCTGACATGGAGAATCCCCTGGGAATCCATGCCACACAACCAGTCACTCTTGCCCCTGCTGTTGAGAACCAGAAAGGTCCAGAGTCAGTGTAGGAGCAGCTGCTGAACAAGGACTCAGAGAATATAAGAATACAGACTACACCTGAAGACTCAGAGGTGTAGTTGACTGGGGTCATGAGAGCCATTTGGAAGCTAGAAACCAGGAGGACCTTGCACAACATCTGAGGAGACCCCCTGGATACCATTCTTCCCCTGACAGTACAGGCTGCGGTGGAGGAGTGCGAGGAGCTCCGGAGAGGTCTGCAGCAAGATTCCTGCTGCCTGTGCTGATGGTTGAGGAGAGGACACTAAGTGGTTGCAGGGTCCCAGTGCGCTGGGAGGCTGGAGAGAAAAAGCTACAAAAAATGGCTTTCACCCCAGATAGCTCATTTGAGATGTTAGTAAGGATTGCCTCCTCAGTATTCTATAGCCATGATGAGGAGGAGGCCAAGGAGAGAAAAAAAAAGACCGAGAAAAAGCAGCTGCTTTTGCTGCAGCATCAAGAGAAGCAGACCCTAAGTCTGATTCTCAGGGCCCCAAGAAGAACTCAACGACTACATTCATCTGCTACCACTGTTAAAAGCCAGGCCACCTCAAGAGGAACTGTCCTAAGAAGCCCCCTGGACTATGACCTGAATGCAAAGGTGACCACTGGAGATCAGTCTGCCCTCTGGAAGTGGAGGCCCCAGAGCTCAGACTCATGCTACCAGTTAGTCTAACAGGAATGAGGGGGCCTGGGGTATAATCTGCCTTCTCCCTCTGGCCAGACAGTCATCTCCGTGGAGGAGCCCCGGGTAATCATGACTATAGAGGAAAAAGAAAACAGCCTGTTGCTAGACACAGGTGCAAGTCTCTCAGTCCTTCTTTTCAATCCTGGCCTTCCATCCAGCTGTCATACCTCAATGAAAGGAGTCACTGGTGAGGAGGTAATCCGCTATTTTTCACTGCCCTTAGGCTGTAACTATTGTTAGATCTTTCTTGGTATCCCTGTCTTCCTGAGAAACCACTTTGAAGATACCACCAGGTATTACAGCGGCCATTGATATTTTCCTACTAATCTGTCCATAATTCTGTAATGTTTGT